GACTCTGTGACCGAAGAAATCGATGGATGGGGCTCCGAAGATGCACTTAGCAGGGTGAAGTTTCATGTTGTTGTTCTGCAGGCATTGGAGGAGGAGTTATAGGTGGTGATGATGCTCGGCCGGCGTCAAAGATGCAACGAGGATGCGTCTATATAGACGGTGACAAAATCAAGGTCGCGAAGCATATGGTCCATGTACCTCTGGAAAGTCTGTGCTGCATTGCGTAGGCCAAAGCTCATGAAAGTATACTCGAAGAGTCTGAACGGAGTGGTGATGGCTGTCTTCTGGGTATCTGCAGGTGCTTCAGGGATCTGGTGAAAGGCACGCTCCAAGGCGATCTTCGAGAAGATTGTCTTGCCATGAAGTTTGTGGTGGAAGTCCTGGGCATGCGGAATAGGGTACCTGTCAGGTTTAGGGACGAGGTTCAGAGCTCTGTAGTCGCCACACACCCTCCAATTGCCAGATGATGGCTTAAGAACCATGTGAAGAGGCGATGCCCAGGGACTCTTTGAAGGACGAATGATGCCGTCTTGCAGTAGTCTGTTGAATTCCGCCTTGGCTGCATTCAGGAGCTCAAGGCATAGGCGGCGAGGGCGTGAGAAGACTGTAGGTCCTTTGGTCTCGATGTGGTGGAAAATTCCCGACGTAGGTGGTGGTGGAGAGACTCGGGGTGAGAAAAGTTCCTTGAACTTCTCGAGAAAGGGGGAAAACTCGTTGGACGGCGAGAGGCAGGTGATAGTGTCGGTGTCTGCAGCACATGTACCCCAGATAGTACGTGCTGTAGGCTCATGGATGAGGCAGAGGTGAGTTGGGTCGACGACGAGCTTGTAGAAGGTGAGGAAGTCGAAGCCAAGGATGGGTTGAGAGACGTCTGCAACCACGAATGACCAGCGCAGAGTCTTGGGAAGACCGAGGTCTAAGGCGAGGATGTGTACGCCGTAGGAGGCAATGGGGCTATCGTTGGCAGCAAACAGGTCATAAGAGGGTTGCTTTGATGTGTCTTGCGGTGAGGGAGGGATGATGCTGACTGATACCCGTGTCAACAAGAAATTTCCTGCTGGAGATGTGGTAGGTGATATGCAGCAGTGAGACGCCTGAAGTGACGGAGGCTGTGGCATCTACCAATCCCCGTTGACGCTGTTTCCCGAGTAGTTGCAGGGGGGGCTCACAATGTCTAGCATTGGCACCAAGGCGTTGGTGGTACCAGCAGAGGGTAGGTCCACTGTGCTGGGAGCTGGCGGCGGTGTCCGGGGCAGGACGAAGACGTCGGGGTTTGTAGGACGCAGTGCGTGGGGCTGGAACAGGCCCACCAGCAGGCGTGGAGGAGCAGAGATGCTCAAGGGTGTCCATCCTGCAGTGTAGAGACTGCAGCAGATCCCTGATGTCTTGTGAGGTGTTGCTCGACTGAGGAGCGTTGATCCGGTTGACAAGATCGGAGGTAAGTAATGGTGTGGCCATTGGGTTATTCTCGGCGGCGAGGCGCGCAGCAGTGTACTCATAGAATATTCTGTCTGCCGAGGTTACGTAGGTAGCCGGTGTCGTAGAGTAGTCCACTGTGGACAGGGCGAGGCGAACTTGTGTGGGGAGCTTCTGTGCGTGAAGCTGGCGCAGGACAGTGTCGGGAAGCCTGTCCGTGTGCCGGGAGTTCAGTCTACACATCTCGTCCCAGAGACATGCAGGCGTTGAGTTGCTGAGGGAGAGACAGGTTAGGTTTTGCAGGAGACTGGTGTGGGGCCGCTGGAATCGCATCTTCAGAGCATCCCGCAGGGCAGCGAATTTGTTGTCAGCTGGAGGGTTGGTAATGGTCTCTGAGACTTGCGTGGCGACTTCCGTGGGCAAGGAACAGAGCCGGGCGACGTACTTTTCCTCGTCCTTAGCTGCTGAGCCGGTGAGGGCTGCCTCCACATGAATTAACCAGTCCTCGATGTTGTGGTTGAAGGTTGGTAGAGAAATCTGTTTGTCGTCCATTGTTGCGAGAGTGCGTCACACCTGTTAGGTAAGGATGAGGGATGGGTGCTTGCTCCGACCCCCTTCCGTGATTCACAATCTCCTGGGAGGGAGGTGAACAGTTGCAGGGGGGACTGCAGGATGAACACACTTTTGAGGGTGCAGGTCCTTAGGCCAGAGCAAAAAACAAAAGAAAAAATAGTAGAAGTAGGCAAAGAGCTCAAACCACGTCTGGAATATCGCGCTATAGCTGCTCTCCAGCTGTGATGTGAGGTCACTCACACCACCAGTGGGGAGAACAAACTAATGTGCGATAAACCTAACGGTCGTGACATGTTGTCGGCGCTGTAGTGGTGGGTGGTCCAGTCAGGTCAGTTGGCCCACAATGGCAACAGACAGGGCGGTCCTCACAGCTCCAGGGGTACGGCAGTAGAAAGCGTAATGTTCACAGCTCCAGGGGTATGGCAGCAGAAAGCGTGATGTTCACAGCTCCAGGGTTACGGCAGCAGAAAGCGTGATGTTCACAGCTCCAGGGGTATAGCAGCAGAGAGCATGGTGTTCACAGCTCCAGGGGTCACCAATTGTAGCGTATTGTATGTGGCCAATTCTCAAGATCTCTTTGTCTATTTCTCTTTGTATGGGCTCACATACATACATACATACATGCAAGATATCTCACACTCAGGATGGATGTAAGAAAAGAAACTCACAATGCGTTTTCTGTATATATATTGTATGTACAGTGCAGTGCTGAGGAGTTGCCGTGTGGTGAGAAGCTTGCTCAAAGGTCTTGTTGAGTGAGGAGCTTGCTGAGGGAGCTGATTGGTGAGGAGCTTGTTGGGAGGTCTTGCGGGTTCTGGAGAGTAGACTAGAATGAGCTCTGCAGCCAGGCCTACTCGTATTTATACGGTTGGTCAGGATCAGGGAAGTGAGGTGTGAAATGTGCGGCGCCAATCACCGTGCAGTTCGCGCGAGAGGCCTGGTTTGCTGAACTCTTCGCTGCTTGGCTGGTAAGTGAACAGCAGGTGATCAGTCGGCAATTGTAGGGGAGAGTATCCACTACACACCCATCGATTCGATTCGAAGGGGCTCTCAAACAGACAAAACCTCCTCTCAACAAGCTCCTCACCACACAGCAATTCCCTAGCACTGCATCGTACATTGTGAGTTTCCCTTCTCACCTCCTAGTGCGAGATCTCCTACATGTACGTATGTATGTGAGCCTAACAAAGAGAAATTTGACAACTGGCCACAGCTGCCACATACACTACGCTACAAGGTCTTCTCTTCGAATTTTGGCCAGTCACTTTTCTCGTCGTTTCTAAGATTCATTTCTCAGATTTTTCCAACAAAATGAATACTAACAGCTGATTTATATTAGAAATTTCTAGTTTTGCTCTTTTTGAATGGTTAGAACAGTTTAAAACTGAAAAAAAATAATTACGGTACCAGCTAACACGATTGCCCGTCACAAATCGTGTGATGCATGACGTCACGTGCAAGGGAGTCTACTCCTTGGTGTTCATGGGCCTAAATTCAGTACTGTACCATGTCAACACTGGACCCCTGAATTTAAATACAGTATGGACAAAAATTTAGCTTTGTTGGGAAATACTTTATATACTTTACTGTGTTCTCACACATCCACTATCAGCAACGTTTAGTGATGACTCGGGAACACTTTATGCGTGGTCATGTATAAACAGCCGACTCATCCATCTTTGCGACCACTCAAATGGCTGTAATATGATGATACGTACTCACTCTATTTACTTATACTTTTTTTTACTTGTGGTCTCTTAGAGCCCTAAATGAATATGCCAGCCTTTCAGGAATCAGAACGTGTTGAATTACTGCACATGGTATTATTGACCTGTGTGATAAATTGCTAATTCAAACCCCTTACCCAGGTGTGTAATAATAATAATATAAAACTATTGTATTTTATTAGTACAGTAGTAATAATGCTTTCGACCATCCTTACTGCCTTTGCTGTAAACTTAGGTACTACCTATTCATAGCTGGGTGGAATAGGGGTGCCCCAGGCGATAATCGGCATAAAACTGCATCAATACCATAATATCTATTAAGTCAGTATTCACACAGGTTCCAGTCATTGAACAAAAAATATACATAATAGATAATGGGATACACAGAGGATCAAGAGGTACAGAAGATCATGTGGTGCACTAAGTGGATCATGGAGTGCACAAGGAAGATCATAGGGTGCATGAAGAGGATAATGGAGTGCACAAAAAGGATCATAAGGTGCACAGAGGGGATTGTGGAGTGTATAAGGAAGATCAGGCGGTGCACAAGGAAGATCATGGAGTGCGCAAGACGAATCAAGGGGTGCACAAGAACGAACAATGGTATACAGGAAGGATTAAGTGGTAAACAAGAAGGCTCAAGTGACAAACGAGGAGGATCAATGGGTGAACAAAGGATCATGGGGTGCATAAAGGTCAGTCGAGACCAAATTATAGTAGTTTGTATGATAAACACAAATATCAGAATCCCATCATTATTGTCTTGTAGCTATTTCCCAAGAGTGTGTGGGCTAGTTGTAATTAACTGATGACAACTGTTGGGTAAAACTAGAATGGGATATCCCCTCACCACAGCAAACCCAGGGCACCAGCCCAGAAAATACATCTTCCTAATGCCAATGCACAGGGTGAAAACATCTAGTAAGGCAGGGTCACAACTCCCCAAGGTAATCAATCTACTTTCCACTAATGATAAATTAAAACTAAAGCATCATTTGGTACTCTTGTCATCTAGATACAGTATTACAAAATAAAAATAAAGTGTCCCACTCATTCTCAGGGACAATAGCCCATAGAATGAAAAGGATAAATGAGTTTTGTAATGAAAAACTTATACTGTACCTTCCACTAATATAAAAGAACAAGATTTTCAGTACTAATTATTTCTTTACTACTGATACTCTACTACCAGCTACATCTGGAAATGCCACCCTTTCTTGTTGAGTGGCCCACTTTCATAATTCTTGGCTCCTTCATTTAGTCATGGGGTAAAGAAAGATTTTATTTGTTTTCATACAAATTTATTAAATGGTCATCAAAAACACAAGTTACCTTAATCATTATTATGTCCCATCTAAATATTGTTGGTACATCTAGATGAGAAAAAAAGAATTACAGTACATGTGAAAAAATCTAAAATTATATAGGAACATGGAATTTCAACACCCTCCAAAGTAAAACTGCAGTAGGTATACAAAAATACAAAATTTCGTGTTAAATACCAATTACTACACAACACCGAATTGCATGAACATTCTAAATAACCAGTTAATGAACAGCTACAATTATTTTATATTAGTAATAGGAAAAGAAATGATACTGTATAGCAAGTTGTACGGGCCAAATTATTTAGTACAGCCTCTAACAAAGGTTGACAAAGCAGACTCCAAAGCCTCACACTCCTCCGAGGAGAATCGATCAACCCAGGACTTTACTACACAGTCAACTGTCTCGGGATATGACACTAATTCAACATCCTCTCCTACCACACGGGTGTTAGGCATGGCTAAAACCATGCGAGGTCTTCGTTTCCTCACTACTATCTCATGCCACTTGCTAAATGGGAATGGTCCATCTGATGGCACTTCTGAATATTTTTCAAACATGGATCGGCCTGATTCTGAATCGCCCATTGAACGATAAATCTGAAGCTTTCGCAAAAACTCACCCATAGCCTGGTGGCCAACCGTATGAATTTTGGTCTTGTCAAGAGTAAGAAGTAAATCAGGAAGGCCATCACTGCCAGCTGACTCGGTGATATTAACTAACCCTTCACCAGCTTCCAGCGCTACTCTTAAAATTACATATCGTGCCTGGGAATGAGCCTGACCCCACTTGCCTTGGCTTGGTTGATACATTTCTAAGCCTCTAAGACCTGCATACATCATGTCTAACCATGAAACATACTTCAGATCCTCACGGTCCTCCGCTGCAACTCCAAATACATCCAAAATATCATTAACAAGTCCCAAATACAATGCTACAGTCTCTGCTCTACATTCTTCATAGGCACTAGCAAGGTTTGTGAAACATGAATTATAATTTTCCCCCTTTTCATAAAACAATGCTTCACCCCCTGTGAATGGATTTTTTATTTTTGTAGGATCAAAGTTAAGAGATCCATCATCTTTGCGACGAAGGAATTTGCCACAACCATGTCCCAACAGTTCATGTAGGCCAACTTGGATTTCAAGGCCCAAAGCCCCATGCTTTTCACGCAAAGTGTGATCGTCCTCAGACAGGAAAGGACCCCCTTTTATACCAGTACGGGCAGCCATGACATTTGTCAAGCTCACATTTTTAAAGCCTTGTTCTTCTTTGACATCTTTGTAATTTGGGATATTAATGCCTATAGGGAGTCCAGAAGATGCAAAAGTTAAAATATCTAAAGAAGAAAAATCAGGTCTCATAAATACATCTTCTTCAAAATCTTTACCCCATGGTAGGAGAGGTAAGAACTCCTTCTCAGCTCGTGCTACGAGAGTATCAAACTTACGAGACTGTTCTCTGTTTACAACTGCAACAAATGATTCAAATTCTGCCCGTTGGTTTACTGGGTCCCTGTACACCTCGATAAAGCCCATGTAGGTTTCTACTGCTGGAGATTTGTTTTTCACCCAAAAAGTAGATCCTTCTTTGTGAGCCTGCACTGATCCCTTGGTAAAACTCTCAATGTATTTGTCAAGCATCTGAATTTCACCATCATTAGCAGTATAATCTTTGGCCAACTGGAGTTCTTCAGTCATTTTCTTCAGAAAGAAAGAGTAGTCCCCTCTACTCACACGGAACTTGTGACCCTGAAATTCATCAATATCAACAGTGATTCCATCAGCATGTCCCTCCTCAATAGACGCTAAACGTATGTCATATATAGTTTGACCATTTTCTTCATACTTTAGCAAGCGGTTATTCCAGGCTTCAATATTCTTTGATGCCATGTACTCCTTAGCTAGATCTGCATCCTCTTGTGTACAATTTGGTGAGAAATACATTGTGACACCACTAGTGGGCATTCCAAGAAACCTTTTATTCTCATCCAAATTGTACATCGCACCCAAAGCTTGGTTTACATAACCATCAATCACATCTGGTGCCTCAAGATAAGCCTTAGAGGCCTTTATCAGAGCTTCCAATTTCTCCCGACTTACACTAGGTATAAACTTTCTGTCACCAAAACCTAAATAGTTCCCCATATTGTACACAAGACCAGAATAATAGATGATGAGGGATTTAAACTCATCATCTGTGAAACCTGTTCTTCCTACAGCCACTTCTTTTAGGGTATCAATAGGCTGTGACCGAAAAAGTCGAGTCAATAAATTGAATATTGTAGGGCTCTCAGGAGAGGTCTGGCACAACACTATAAGACCACCCCACCATGATGCTCTGGACAAATGATGTGCATAGCGCCGCTCACGGGCTGTGAGGCCAGCAAATGCTTCTTCACTCTTCAGGTACAGTATAGGTGTGTCTAAAGGTAGTTCATGTTGAGAACCCATGCTGGATGACCTGCAGGTAAGGAAAACAGATGGTCAGAATTAGATAAAAATGCACACAAGGTCAAATCAAATACACAAATAAATAATCCATTAAACTATGGAAACTTGAGCTAATGTATCTAACATTTTATATACTGTATAGTACAGTCTTCTCCAACCACGGGGGTTAGGTTTCTGAAAAAATCCTGTGGTTGAAAAGGACTTGGTCATATAGAAAAAAAGGGACTCGATTACCATTCCCACAGAGACATGCCCCGAGTGCTATAATACTCTCTAAGGTAAAAGGAGTGTATGCAATACAGTACTTAAAAACAAACCATTTATTTTCCTATTTAACTGTACATTAACATTAAAACTTCAAATTGTGACCTGTGGCCGGGTGTGCTAATCCCCGTAAAAAAAAAAAATACAGAGAACAGCAACATGTAACACAGACATACTGTATACATATAGCTAAAGGACAAATAAATGTGAAGTCACTGACACGTTGGTAATTATATTGTAATGAAGCGTTCGTAAATATCAACACCAATTTATATTATAAACAGCGTTGAATAACTCTGTACAGTACTAAGGTTCCATTATAATTACTGCAAGTCTACATGAACAACTACCACAGTACAACTTTATAATATATACCAGTGTATTTGTTCCCAAAATAGACCTTATACAACTAAAATTTAAAAAATCACTTGGTGTACGTAATTATACTGAACATGTTTGGCACACAAAATAGCTTTCTTTCCAATTGCCTATAATGACTATGACCATTGAGAGTTGCATTTTATTTAGTATAAGACAGCCACAATATCAAAGAATTACATAACCTAATTCTTACAAATATTATCTAGTGCAAAAATTAGGACTGAATGATGCTTATAAGGGCCTGGCTGTTGAAACATCTACATACAGTACATTAAAATAACGTGTTCATTGATACACGAACAAACAGACTTCATTAAAAGTCTATACACTACTGTACTACTTTTGACCTTTAATATATGAAGGAATGGAGGAAGTTAATCACCAAAATATTAATGGAAAATTCTAATGACTAAAGCTTAAAGTTCTGCAGTGAAGAGGGTCAATGATTAACAATGGTGTAGACTAAGTCTCTTTTTCTATGATCGTTTTATCCTAGGATCATATTCCAAAGCCTCCTATTGAAGGCTAATTACAGTAACAAGTTCTCACCAAACTTTAAAATATATCCAAAATGCTTCAGGTTCAAAATAAATCTAATGTATGGAGGGATCCTACAGAGGCCACTGGCCTCCTTCCCTCAGAATGGCCATCTTCTTTCAGTTCAAAACAATAATGGCTCATTTATCAAAGTAAATCCACATCTTTTCAGTATATTTTAAGATTAAAGTGCAAAACTATTTTTTCCTTAGGAATTTAATAAATTAAAATTAATGTTACAGGCTACTCTCTTGAACTGATTAAATGAAGTACAGTAACTACGAATCCTCAAGCAGCCATTAACCCCTTCCCTTACCTATTTTTTTCCCAGTGTACAGTATGTATAAAAAATATATATTTTTTATGCCAGTTTTCTATTGTGTATATAAGGACAAACGGATATACAAAATATTTCAAGATACATTTATTTTTTAGGAGTTATTACATTGTAATACACCATAATTATTATCTCGAGTATTCTTGGAAATATGAAGTTATTAAGAAAATCATAAGAATAATTGGTACAGTAATTGAAATGAATTATTTTTTTTTACTTTATACATGTACAAATATAGTTCTCAAAAATAAGGATAGTTTTTTACCAATAGAGTTGTAAATCAGGTATTTTTTTACAATACTCTGCAAGATTGTAATGGCCAAGAAAACTCTTAATTTCATTTCTAGTTGTTGACCGCCACTTGCTTTTATTTCTTGCCAATGCTTCTCTCAATTTATTTTGTGCATTTCTGTTAGTCTCTACAACTATAATATCTACAATATAATCATCTATGAAACTCAAAATACTGTAAAATACTTTCCTCTTTATCAAAAGAATAAATGATACCATTATTTGCAGTAAAATCAAATGGCGGTGGGGAAGGAGAGATGACAGGCGTCAATTCATTCACCATCTTCCAACCCCTGCCGTCGGGTAGACTTTTTTCATCGGTCGTTTCCTACTCTTCAGAAGAAATGTCTTCATCACTTGTATCACTTGCCGATTCCTCCATGTCTTCATAATCATCACTGTTATATTCATCATTACTAGTCATAATGGGGGGTTGAATAAAACGGCCTCTCAGCCGCTAGGAAATATTTTTGTCTGCTCTTTAAACAAAGATTGTGCTGGCATCTATTGCGGGAAATGAGAACTATTCGCTACTAATTACTCGAGATTCATAGAAAACGGGCTCGCAAACTCATACGAGTTTTTTCGGGTTAGTAATATTCGAATAGCATAGCACCCCTCGTATACTCGGGATAATAAGGGAAGGGGTTAAATAAAAACTAGAACAATTTAACTCTAAGGTGAATTTTGTCTGAATTACAAAATCCAATACAAAATTAAAGAAATACCCTGCAGGAGTAAATTGCCATCTATACTAAAGAGAAACTTAAGAGGGCATTATTTTCTGAACCATGTAGTTATGTACAACTAACCTGCAGAAAGTTCTGAGGGGTATGTGAAGTGATGTAAAGGGAGTATTCATCAACTCATCAGGCTTCCAACAGTTTTTTGAGCACAGCAGATTTGATCTTGCTGGTGAATTAAAAAAATTCAAAGGGCAATTTCCCCCCCAAACACCGATATGGAACTGTGAAGCTTTATATAAGAGAGCTGTTTTTGTACAAAAAAAATGTGTGAACACACATTTATTCATCCTTTGATATTCTGTAATTCCTGTGGGAGCAAAAACATTTATCACTAACAAGATTACTGAGTACAGGGTATATCTTATAAAATATTGTAAAAAGCCTTAATACATATGCCATGTTCTAATATTTAGGGTATGTAATTATCAAGTTGATTTGCTTCTGTGTTGTTGCTTTCTTGAGGTTAATTTTTACTTGAGTTTGTTATAGTATATACAGTACAGTATAAGCAACATACCAGGTAATTAAACCATAAGAAAACTGTCATAGCCTATGTTTTTTTTATTATTTTTTTTTTTTTTTACGGGAATTAGCCCACCCGGGCACAAGTCAAACGACCCACAACGAGGCCTGGAGGCGAAAAAAAAAGAACAGAAAGAAATTGAAAATGGAGAACAAAAGGGTTATATTGTGTTAGTCTACACCACGAAGATGCCGGAAAACCAGCTTTTTAAAGTGAGACAGATTGTATAATTATGGAAACACAGAAGAAGGCAGAACATTCCACAGTTTGGCTGTGTGAGGAAAGAAGGAGGTACTATAACAGGCTATTTTCATGTGACCGACATCCACAGAGAAACGGTGGGCACCACGGGCAAGACGTGTGTTACGAGCCCACGGCCTTGCCGGCGGTACACAGGATGCCAAATCCACCGAACTTTGCTCGTTAAAGTACAGTACCTGTAAAAGAGAGAGAGTGAAGCAACATTGCGGCGAAGAGAAAGGGAAGAGAGATTGTCGACTAAAGGAGGAGAGTAAATAAGACGAAATGCCTTTGATTCCACCCTATCTAATAGTTGGACAGAAGAAGAGCCACCCCAGATATGTGAGCAGTATTTCCAAGTTAGGACGAATGAATCCCTTATATACTTGGAGCAACTGCTCAGGAGTGAAATAGCTATGGCATCTGTACAGCATTCCCAACTTTTGGGAGGAAGCTTTAGCTATACTAAGGATGTGTGATTTCCAGGACATATTGGAGGAAATGGTGAGGCCTAACAAATTTATTTCAGAATTTGGCAGGATGATAGCGTCCTGAAATGTTATTGGTGGGAGATCGTCTAATTTACAAAGTAATTGGTAAATATTGAGTTTTATTACTATTAAACTTAACCAAGTTTCTACCTCCCCATTCAGAGATGCTGCACAGATCCGCATTGATAGAAGTAAAGATTTCAGTTCTAGAAACCGATCTAGTTTGCGAGTTAGGAGGAAGGGGAAAATTTGAAGTAGAGTGAAGAGTAGAATCATCAGCGTAAAAATGGATAGAATTAGTTGTAGTGTGAAGTAAATCATTGATAAAAAGAAGGAAGAGAGTAGGTGAAAGAACAGAACCCTGTGGGACACCACTACTGGTAGAGAAAGAGCGAAAGATCGATCCCTCGACAACAACTGCCATGGATCGGTTCTCAAGGAAGCTAGAGATGAGAAAACAAAGTGGGGGAGAGAAACCAAAAGAGGGAAGTTTAGATAGCAAAGACTTGTGCCATACCCTGTCAAATACTTTGGAGATGTCGAGGGCCACGACAAAAGTTTCCCCATAATCCCTAAGAGAGGGTGACCAAAGATGGGTGCAATAGGAGAGCAGATCACCTGTAGATCTCGCCTGGCGAAAGCCATACTGGTAATCCGACAAAAGAGAAAAGCATTCAAGGTGACGGAGAAAATGGGAGTTCAAGATAGTTTTGAAAATCATAGAGAGGAATGAAGTTAGGGCAAGGAGGCGATAGTTAGAGGGATTAGAATGGTCACCCTTCTTCGGGATGGGCTGAACCAAGGCATGCTTCCAAGAAGAAGGAAAAGTTTGGGTTTTGAGGAAGAGGCGAGCAAGCACACCTCCCTCAAAACACGAGGGGGTATTCCGTACGGTCCATGCGCCTTACTCGCATCCAACCTGGATAACACACCGGCAACCCTGCGAGTGGAGATTATAGGAAAGTACATAGGTTCAGTAGGAGGTGCATGGGTAGGAGGGATAGAGTGGGAATCGCCTAAGGTGGAATTAGAGGAGAATAAGGTGCCAAAGAGGTTGGCTTTGTCAGGGGGAGAGTTGGCTATAGAGTTATCGGGTCAGAAGAGGGGAGGAAAAGAAGGAGTGCAGAAGTTGTTACAGATGTTTTTAGTTAAGGACCAAAAGGATTTACTAGAGGAAGAATTAGTCAGGACAGCGGTGAAAGAGGTGTGGGTAATAGGAGGAGATAGTTTCATAGCTCGATATGCCCTATCTCTCTGGGTTTGAGAGATGATGTATGTAATAGGCAATTTCTGGTCAGCCAAGTGATAATGGGTTTTATGGCTACAGTACGTAGATCTGTTATGGTCATGAAGCATGCCAGTAACATTAATTTAAGTTCCAAATTTACTGATCTACATTTTTCTCACTTTCCCTGCCTTGAGATCAGCTACAACGGAAAAATGAACAAAATCAAACTATATGTACTCCTTCTGGTGATAGTGCGGTTTTCATACACATTACCAAAAAAACCTACTTAACTGACAACCAGACAAATATCCACAGCCTTTTATTTATTTCGTAGTGGATACAGTACAGTATAGGTACGGCAGCCGTACACAAAAATTCACACTGGATATACTGTAGGTACAGCAGCCACATTGACAGACTGTCATTAATGGTTAGGTTAAGCTAGGCTTAGTTAGAAAGAAGGTCATCTTAGTAACTATCATTGTACGTACAGTATAGTTCGCCCACCAAGTATGTGCATTTGGCTGCTGTACCAATAAACATCAATGTGTCACATACGATTAGGAAGTTAGGTAGGTTTGGATAGTGCTATCAACCACCTATTTCTAATTAAATTATCCTAACCAACCAAACCTACCTAACTTCCTAACCAGGGGGGGCTCTGCGCTACCCCCCCCCCCCGAATCTCGAACATATTACATATCTCGGTTCTAGGTCGTTTGCGAGGGAAATGTCATGGAAGAAAAGTCTTAAAATGAACAAGTTGACAGTTCTGGGTAAACACAAGAAATACACTCTGCCATGTTCGTAGAGTGATACAGTCTATATAATAGTTAAGATAAGTTTATTTCTCCAGTAACAGGGCCGCCATTTGCAATGACATCACCACCTACCCTGCAGAAGATGCATGGATGGAGATACGAGTCAATTGAGAAGTAATGGCATTGTCTGGACTTTGTTTTGAGAATGCCTGATGCTAGGTAAACATGACAACATAGTGCTGTTATTGTTTTGATGATTCACGAATGAACCACTGGGATATATTATCATTTATATTAATTAATGGGTAAAACTTTACCTGAAGTACCATAAGTATTTGGAAGCTTAGATTCAAGATAGGCTATACAGATACAGTGGGGTATGCTTTAACGAACGGATCCTACTACGAATATTCCTATAACGAACGGTTTTACCTATAAAATTGAGAATGCTATAACGAACGAAACTCCTACAACGAACATTATTAAAAAAAATTTTTTTTTTTTTTTTTACTAATTTATTGTTTCTGTACTACAAGTATTAACGATATTCTTTATTTCAGGGGTTTAGATGCATATTTATGCACTTTTTTACAATTTTTACAATTTTATATTATATTTTTCAGTGTTAAGTGGTTGTATTTGGGGGGCCTGGAACGGATTAATCCTATAACGAACGAATGCTATAACGAACAAGGTTCTAGAACCAATTAGATTCGTTATAGCATACCCCACTGTATTGGGTAAATTTTAAGTTTTGGTCATCCCTGTGCTTAGACATGCAGACTTTTTTTTCCTGGTGGTTTGCGATGTATTATGAACGATTTATACCTTCATTTCTATTGGAAATCATTAGTTTTGAGTTCCCCCCGCCCCCACCCCCCTTACCGATGTATGTTAATCTAACCTTATAACTCCCTATACCCTAACCTAACATATGACCTGTATTTTCTTATGCGATTAAAAATGTTTTGACAGAAATCTCGTAGCGATAATTTGTCTTATTGTTTAAAGTACTTAATCCCACAGTTAGAATCTCAAGGTTCCCCATATGACCAAAAACCAAAATAATACCAATATTGTTTGGAATGTTATGCTATGAAATTTGTAGTATGGTCAGCTAATATCGATTGAATTACTTAATGTGCTTAGTAATATTTATATATAGTCAATAAAGCAATTAATTATCAAATAATATTTATTTACTGAGCCAATCAGCTGAGAAGGTTGGACAACTACTTCCAGGGTTCATCATGGCAAATGAAAGAAATTCACCAAAAGTAGATGCCATTATGATAGAGTATTATCAAGAACTCAGCCATCCAGCTATGAAGCACGTTAAATTACAGCTACTCCCCGACTTATGACGGGGTTAGGGACCGACATCCAGGTCGTAAGTCGAAATGGTCGTAAGTCGGAAATGCTTAAATCATACATAGAAAATCGAAAATGGGGTCTCTTTTTCTTCTCAGCACCACAAAACACTCACTTTTAAGCTTGCCAGCCATTTTAAAGTGAATTACAGATGAAAATTTTGTCTGTGTACTGACTTTGGGACTCGAAAATACGTTAATTTGACCAAATTTTGGTACGACTGAGGCAGGTCATAAGTGCGGGTGGACTAAAGTCGAGTAGGTCGTAAGTCGAGGAGGAGCTGTACATCTGTCATCTGGCCATGGTCGTCCCAAGTCCTTCCATAACATTAAATATAGACATCAGTGATGAAAACTTACATTCTCCAGACATGAAACAGAGAACAGTGATGAAACTTCCATGTTGAAGTTATCGGTCCTTTACATCATTTTTGCACCCAGCAAGTAAAAATACACACGATGATACTTGAGCAGTAATATATTTTAACCTAAAAATAAGGTATGCCCGTGTATATCAACATTGTGTATGGTCACAAGTTGTCATGGGTTGCATTAGGCTTACCCACGCAACCAACGCCAAAGTTTGTTTCACTAGAGATAAGACACCCGGCGAGGCATAACTGGGACATATATTTTTCAATTAGTGTATGTTAGCCAGCCTTTAGGGGGTGGGCAGTGAAACAGTATTGTACTGTTCATCATTTCACACCCAAAAACCTCATTTTAAGTAGTATCCCGAGCCACGGGTTAGTTAAGACGTCGTCTCCATCCTCTCCCTCCTGAAAGGGGGCGGGACACCACACCACACAGAGTCCTCCACCGCCACTCAGTCCTGTGAACCGTCGTCGACACGAGACTAAGCGTGTTAACCTAGGTTTGTTATCCCCGTGGAAATATCACGTGTGGGTGCCTGGTTGCGACAAAAGCAATCCAGGCTGGCCTATCAAACCTACAGTAAATGGTTAATTAATTCACGCTTACAGAGTTCTCCTGCACGACACCCGTCTACAGTGACTGTCAGTGACGCGAGACTATGTGTGGTAACCCAAGAGTACTTTTTGTTGTTATGGCCGTGGAAAGAAGTTCTTGTGCGGAAGCCTGGTTGCAACAAAGGCAATCCAGGCTGACAATAAATGTATCACATGAAGAATTAAGGCTCTGTGAAGTCATACCCATAGTAGAGTAATCACATGTGTTCCCAAGTTGAAAATTCTCTTTTAGAAGATTAATTTTATTACAGAGTGAACGTAAGTGAATCATATACCCATGCAAATTGTAAATCATTGTATGGAAGCTTGACAAATAAATGTAAGTGCAATTATCTGCCCGTATCTGTGATCCTATCTTATTACTAAAAGTAGTGACTGATTGGTTATGACAAGGTATAACCAATAACCGAGACAGATGTTGGAAATTAATGGAATTCATTAAATCATCACTTATCAAGTATAAATCATGGAATGTCGAGTGGTGGAGTGAACTTCTATGTAGATACATCATAATCTCCTGTAAGTAATCAGTGTGAAGGTATCGAACTCTACGGTAAGAAATAAGAAATACGACATATTATTATCTTTATATAATATAATCTACTACTACCACCGATACACCCAAAACCATGACACAAGTCCTATATTTCTGCTGGTAACAACACATACGAGGTCTGTCCAAAAAGAAACCAAACTTTTTAAAAAAACTAATTTATTGCTTTACTTACAACTTAATCAGACTTGTCTCCTTCAAAGTACTCCCCTCCACTGTTGATACACTGCTCCCAACGTTTTTTCCAGTTCTGGAACGTGTCCTGGAACGTGTTTTGAGGGATGGTACGCAGGTCTCGTAGCGAATTTTCTTCTATCTTTTCTATCGTCTGAAATCGGCGACCTTTCAGGGTGGATTTCAACTTTGGGAACAAAAAAAAAAAAGTCCGCAGGGGCTAAATCCGGAGAGTAGGGCAGCTGGGGGGACGACAGTCGTCTCGTGCTTCGCCAACGGATAATGAGCGACGCGTGAGCAAGCGCATTGTCATGGTGCAGCATCCAGGTCTTGTTTGTCCACGACTCAGGCCTCTTCCTTCGCACTGCCTCAAACGCTTATGGACCTCCAAGTAAAACTCTTTTTTGACTGTCTGACCACGTGAAACAAACTCATGATGAACGACGCCCTTCCAATCAAAAAAGACAGTCAACATCACCTGTACATTTGAGCGACTCTGACATCCACACTTGGGATCGTCTTCGGTGGATGTTCTTCCCCTTTTGAAACGCTGGTACCACACGTGACATTGCATACGGCTCAAACAATCCTCCCCATAAGCCTGTTGCAACATTTGATAAGTCTCCTTAAAAGTTTTTCCCAATCTGAAACAGAATTTCACGCAAACACGTTGCTCTTCAAGATCCTTCATTGTTCAACTTGCAACAAATCGCTAAGTGCACTAAACACACGTTCACTCTAGCGTGTGTAGCTAGATGACTAATTGACATGGCGTAATGCGGCTAGTGTTAAACTAAAGGTCAAGGTCACCGCTACACAGCGTTCCCATCACGAGCATGCTGCACCGGCTCGTTGGCGCGCTATTTAAAAAGTTTGTTTTCTTTGCGAACAGACCTCGTATATCACAGCTGGCTGCCTCAAGGCTCCCGCTCTGCGACTAGCACTACTCAGTGACGTCACAACCAATCACAGAGCTTTTCGCAGTCATGTGATTTTTTAGTAACTAACTTTTTTTTTCCACCTTTTGGCCTAATTTATTTAAAATTATCATTACCGTACTGAATTAAAGCAGTTTCTTTGCCCATTGACCTGCCATCTTATGAAAAAATTCCGACCGTCAATTCTTCCATTGTCTAAACTACTGTTTGCAAAGAAAAACCGGTAAAGATTCTTTTTTGGTTACATCACAGAAACTATTAACAAAAATAGTTTTCTTAGTGTATTTTGTATTGTTACAAATGAATCCGACCTTCATTTCCATTGGAAATGAGCATTTTTTTCAGAAAAAAATCTACCTAGCCTGATCTATCTTCCTCGCCATAGGGTGGACACCCCTCCTCCCATATTAAACAGAAAGTACTTATTTTTATACAGTGGTCCCTCGGTTAACGAACACAATTCGTTCCAGAAGGTCGTTCGTTAACCGAAAATTTCGTTACTAGTTTTCTGTACTTCAATTATGTTCAATAATTGTTAAAATAACTAAAAATTTTAAAATAAAACTTTTAAAATTATTGAATAGTACAACCTTCTTGATATTTACTCAAATGGGAACGAATTTAAGCCCTAGAACTGATTAATGAATTGGCGGACTAATATTCCAGCTGGTGAGCAAGCGAAAACATGTTGAGAAGAATTCGTAAGGAATTCGTGAACCGAATTGAAGATTCTTATGGAAGGTAATTCGCTAACCGAAATTTCGTTGACCGAGGCATTTGTTAACCGAGGGATCACTGTATTCTTGAAGTGTCTTGGTGTAATTTTTTATTTTTTGTGGATGTGAGAGTACGCTCAAACCGAACGGGTTAGTCGTAAACAAACAGCGCAGATGACAACATACACCGACGATGGCAGATACCTAATGTTTGAGAGTAAATATATAAAACCTAAGATTTTGCACAAGAAACATTACTCTTAAATATTGACTCATAATTTAAAAAAAATAACATATTTAAGGTAGTTAAAAACAATAAGAGGAATGGGTGAAAGACGAATATTAACGTATATAAATGGAAATATACAGTTCCGTGGTGTAACTAAAATGAATCTTAAAAAAAAAAAACGAAATTTGGTTGGTGGCAAGAAATACAACAAAAGCTTAGTTTTTTTTCTTCTCACGATACCTTGGTTTTAGGTAAAATACAAGAAAAACGTCAAATTTTTTTTTCGTTTTTGTCTGAACTTATGACATAAAATACTGCTTAGAATTTTTCTACTAGTTTTCTGAGTTTTAATTCCCAATTTCTCAGTTATGAGTAAAGAGTACCAAACCTAACCTAGCCACAGAAACCAGGAACTATATACGGTATAATCTGACTGAGAGGGGCTTCAGCCTCACAGGCCCCTCCTTTCTGGTAGGGGTTAAATTCCTAAGATTCCTCAGATGACCGAAACTAAAATACCAAATCATCTTGTTGGTATTATTATCATTTCGGTCATGCAGCGAATTTTATGATTTTAAATTTAGGTCGAGTTGAAATTATGTTTTTTCCGAAGGTTTTCAACAATTCCGACCTACAATATTTCCAAATAGGAACATGACCAAAACTACAATTTTACCGTCTTGTTTGTATCTGAACGGTAAATGTTACTTTTAGTCCTATAATCGGTAATTTTTCACATGTAAATTTTTTTTTTTTGCTAGTTTTCTTGCAGTTTTAGACGATTGACATTTATCTATGGGGCAAATCATTATTCCCACCCCTCTTCCACCCCAACAATATGTAGGTGGCCACGTTGGGGGTTTTGGGTGTGGGGTTGGGGGGCTAAAAACGAGTGATTTTCACCAAAAATAAATGCCAGAATCATGGAAAATACCAAGAAAACTAGCAAAAAAAAAAACATTTTTCATGGGAAAAAACATTTAAAATAAACTAAGTCTACGTACTAACCTAACCTAACAGGCCGTGTCCTACTTAACTGGACCCCCCAATAACACTGTGTTCCTTAGCAAGGTGGGTGAAGTCACTGCCAGTGTAACAAAAAAAATTGTAAAAAGGTGATTGGTGTTTAACGAAAAATTACCCTATAATCTTCTAGCGACTCAAAATATATTTTTCCTATGTACTTTGCTGTGTTTTGAATGAATTTGACTTTCAAAAGTGTCGCAAATCAAACAATTTTAAGTTATGACCCCCCCTCTCCCACCAACAATAATGGGGGATCTATGGGAACCGGGGGTTTGGGGTGGGGGGAAATTAAAAAACGAGTGATTTGCCGTTTTGAAGGTCAAATTCATTCAAAACACAGCAAAAACATAGGAAAACCATTTTTCATCACTAAAATATGCATGCTTACCTAACGACGGAAATATCATAAAGAAAATTGTCTTGGAATTTTCTATATATTTCACACATGTTGCCAGATTTATCATAAAGAATTATAGGACTAAAGTTAACAAATACCGTCTGAACTTATGATTAGCAATAAAAACAAATTCCAATATAAAATTAGGTCCTCTATAAATTGACACCTGCCTCCCATGATTTCCTACGTAAAATACTTCCCTTCTCTGGGAAAATTCAAATTATGGGTATTTTGGGCGCGACCCTCTCAAACTATTACCTGTTACCCATATAAATAACACAATTTATATACATAACTAAGTCTAAGACAGCAACACCTCCCAATATGCCAGATCACCCTGTGTGCCTTGTCTTAATTCTCAATAGTAATCAAATTTGTATATATCACTTACAAATACAGACAAATAAAGCAGAACTAATATTGCCATATATACATCCACGGGAGAATGCCATAAAATATAACTCGGTAAACACCTTCAGAACTCCCTGCTTGACGTAGTGAAGACCCAGCCGGTGAATGACTACTCCTACAACACAATGACTCAGCACTGTATGGGGCCTCGCGAAATCAGGATTTTCTCTAATAGGTTTTTTTTTATAATGTACAGAATAAATTCAAATAATCACACGTATTTTTTCTTTCGTTTTCTTATATATACGTTTAAGTAAAAAAAAAACATAACGTCTCAAGTTATTTTGTTAACAGTTACATGGTGTCAATATGGATGCATTCCAGAGATATTTATCGTTCAACTCACGAATTTTAATCACTACTATGTTTGGAACTTTTTTATTGTACACTTTTTAGACAAAAACTTTTATAAATTGCATTGATTAAATTTTCCTCTTTGATTTTGGAAAACAGGTTTTGACTTAAAATTCAGGATGAAATAAAAGGATTGAGGCCTTATTAGGGGATACACAAATGGTGACTCTTCTATAACACCAGTGTAAACAGAATACATTTGATAAATAAACAACATCCATCTAACATTAACATGTTTTCATTATCAACCCTCACTAAACCAAAGCGTATGTATTCAAAATCAATTCAATTTCAATTGTTTATTCCTTGATAGAGGAAGTGGGATCCTAGTGCTGTCACTAGGTACCCCTGTACAATGACACCAGAAGCATCTGGCAAGTGTGACAAGTATATACAGTATAAATATTATAAAGGGGCTTACTAAAGCCTAAGGAAGGAAGGATATTCCTTTAACACAGAATCAATGTTATTTACAAAATATCTGGCCAGTATGGGGAGGATTGTAGTGGATTCCTCCCCTACAAACGCTTGTCGCTGAGTAGCCTGTGGGGTATGAGATGTTTGGTTCACACTCAGGATGGGATGGAGAAAGGAAACTCACAATGTGCTCTCTAAATACATGTTGTATTGGATGTACAATGCAGCTTGGTGCTGGGAAGGCAGCATGGTTACAAGCGTGATGTAGAGAGAGCTGGTTGGTGAGGACGCTCAGAGAAGGACAGCTTGTGGGTCGCCATGCTCGCCAGCGGGAGAGAGGACCGCCAGGCAGGCGGAGGAGGAGGAGGTGTTGCTGGCTGCGGCTGTAGGTAGTAAGAGAGACAGATCACCACGAGGTCAGGTCTTAAATAGCGGGAGTAGGCGTGGCTTAGCAGTTGACCCCCGCTCCGTGGTGTATGGCGGCGCTGGTTGACCTAGACCACGAGGCATACACTGGGGAATTGGTGGGGTCGGCTAGGCGGCGACAAACAGCGTTTGTAGGGGAGAATTCCACTACAATACTCCCCCTTCCCTCCAGGCTGTGTAGGAGACTTGTTGTCTGCAGAGTTGCATAGCACATGTGAGGCAGAACGGGCGGTGCGTGCCTCATGTGAGACAACGGCGATGGCGTGGATGAGCCGGTCGCTGGGGACAACTGTCTAGATACACAATATCTGTGGGAGTAGAGAGGGAGAATAAGGGTGTGTGGAGGCGATGAATTTTGTGCTTCCCTCACGGCAGGTACCGAGTCGTCAGATGCGCCTGCTGGGGTGTGTGGGCCTGGGTCAGGAGCAGGGGCTGCGTCAGCAGAAACGGATGAGGGCTCGTGACAGCAGCTGGGTCCACGACAGCAGCAGGGTGCAGGACATTAGCAGGGAGTACCTGAGGGAGAAAAGAGGGGTGTGTGGGTCCGCACTCAGGAACAGAGGCCGCATCAGGGGCGGCAGGGGTTACTGCTGGGCCGGGGTCGGCGTCTGAGGCAGGACGGGTGTGCTGGGGTCGGTAGGACGTGGTGCTTGGGGGCAGGAAAAGGAGCTGGTGTCTGCTAGGAGAAACAGTGCTGCTCTAGGGTGTCTAACCTGCGGTGTAGAGACAGTAGCTGTAGAGCCGATGAAAGCTGCTTCTGTGTGGATAAGCCAGTCTTCCATGTTGCTTGAAGACTGGGAGCGTGATCAGTTTCTCCTCCATCCTGTGTGAGTGCGAATCTCCGGGAGTCACCATTTGTGGGGTATGAGATTGTTTGGTTCACACTCAGGATGGGATGGAGAAAGGAAACTCACAATGTGCTCTCTATATACATGTTGTATTGGATGTACAATGCAGCTTGGTGCTGGGAAGGCAGCATGGTTACAAGCGTGATGTAGAGAGAGCTGGTTGGTGAGGACGCTCAGAGAAGGACAGCTTGTGGGTCGCCATGCTCGCCAGCGGGAGAGAGGACCGCCAGGCAGGCGGAGGAGCGAGGGCCGCCAGGCAGCGAGAGGAGGTGTTGCTGGCTGCGGCTGTAGGTAGAGAAGAGAGACAGATCACCACGAGGTCAGGTCTTAAATAGCGGGGGTAGGCGTGGCTTAGCAGTTGACCCCCGCTCCGTGGTGTATGGCGGCGCTGGTTGACCTAGACCACGAGGCATACACTGGGGAATTGGTGGGGTCGGCTAGGCGGCGACAAACAGCGTTTGTAGGGGAGAATTCCACTACAAGCCTGTGGGGTTATGGGATTTTTGTGTTCGCTCTCAGGATGGGTTGGAGAAAGGAAACTCACAATGTGCTCTCTGTATACATGTTGTATTGGATGTACAATGCAGCTTGGTGCTGGGAAGGCAGCATGGTTACAAGCGTGATGTAGAGAGAGCTGGTTGGTGAGGATGCGCAGAGGAGGACAGCTTGTGGGTCGCCATGCTCGCTGGCGGGAGCGAGGACCGCCAGGCAGGCGGAGGTGTTGCTGGCTGGTTGGTGTAGGTAGAAAAAGAGAGATCACCACGAGGTCAGGTCTTAAATAGCGGGGGTTGGCGTGGCTTAGTAGTTGACCCCCGCTCCGTGGGCGGCGCTGGTTGACCTAGACCACGAGGCACACACTGTGGAATTCGCGGGGTCGGCTATGCAGCGACAAACAGCGTTTGTAGGGGAGATATCCACTACAATACTCCCTCCTTCCCTCCAGGCGGTGTAGGAGACTTGTTGTCTGCAGGGTTGCATAGCACATGCGAGGCAGAACGGGCGGTGCGTGCCTCATGTGAGACAACGGCGATGGCGTGGATGAGCCGGTCGCTGGAGACAACTGTCTAGATACACAATATCTGTGGGAGTAGAGAGGGAGAAAAAGGGTGTGTGGAGGCGATGAATGTTGTGCTTCCCTCACGGCAGGTACAGAGTCGTCAAATGCACCTGCTGGGGTGTGTGGGCCTGGGTCAGGAGCAGGGGCTGCGTTAGCAGAAGCGGATGAGGGCTCGTGACAGCAGCTGGGTCCACGACAGCAGCAGGGTGCAGGACATTAGCAGGAAGTACCTGAGGGAGAAAGGAGGGGTGTGTGGGTCCGCACTCAGGCGCATGGGCCTGAGTGCAGACCCACACACCCCTCTTTTCTCCCTCAGGTACCCCCTGCTACTGTCCTGCACCCTGCTGCTGTTGTGGACCCTGCTGCTGTCATGCACCCTCCTGCTGTCATGGACACACTTCCTGACGCAGCCCCTGCTCCTGACCCAGGCCCACACACCCCACCAGGCACATCTGACGACTCTGTACCTGTCGCGAGGGAAGCACAACATTCATCGCCTCCACAACACACCTTCTCCCTCTTTTCTCCCACAGATCTCGTGTATCTAGACAGAGTTGCCCCCTCCCCCCGAGCGGCCGGCTCATCCACGCCCTCGCCGTTATGTCCCACATGTGGCATTCACCGCCCGTTCTGCCTCACATGTGGCACGCAACTCTGCCAACCTCCAGCCTCCTGCCGCGCCCGGAGGGGAAGGGGAGTATTGTAGTGGATTCCTCCCCTACAAGCAACGAACCTTCTCGAATTCCCCAGCCTACGCCTCCAGCGCCGCCCACGGAGCGGGGGTCAGCTATCTACCCACGCCTACCCCCGCCTCATAAGGCCTGACCACCGCTGTGACCACTCCTCTTTTTGCACAGTGCCACCTGCAAGCAACACCTCCTCCTCCGCGCCAGCCTTGCGGCTGCCGCTCCCGCCAGCGACCTTGGCGTCCCTCAAGCCGCGTGCCCTCACTCTGGGCACCCTCACCACCCAGCTCTCTCTACTCAGCGCTTATTACCATGCTACCTATCCAGCATCAAGCTGCATTGTACATCCAATACAATATTTATACAGTGAGCACTTTGTGAGTTTCCTTTCTCCATCCCATCCTGAGTGTGAACCAATATCTCATACCCCCACAACTCCAATCGGATTTGGGCCAATTGGAAGAATAGTCATGGGGTGTACGACGCCATTTACGATGACCTTCTTGCCCTGATCTTGTTTCAGGAATACCTCCCTTTTGAAGCTCTGGAGAGATCTCGAAGTTTCGATATTTTGAGTACAGCACTAGCTAATAATTCCCACCAGGAAACTTGTTTCGAGACTCCTTCAAAGCTTTGAAAAGTGCAGAATTGCATGTGTTAAAGGCGATATTCCTGAAAAAAGACCAGGGCAAGGTCATCGTAAATGGCGTCGTACATCCCATATTGCAGTTAATGCTCACTCGCTGTTTCCTGTCCTGTAACCACGCCCTAATCCATTTTAGAATATCACCTTTAATGCCATGAGCCTCCCCTTTTCGTATTAGTCTTTCGTGACCAACAATTCAGTGGAGTGGCTTGGTTGGAAATGGTACGATAAAAGTACGAAAAATTAATCGTACTTTTGTACCGTACCGAACTTTGAAAAAAATATCGAGCCGTAATATCAAACAGAACTTTTATCACCCTCATAACCATACTATACCGTACTGCATGCCTCCTTACTGCTGGTCCAGCAGTAAGGCGTATCACATGAGTTTTACTCTTATCCTCTTCATCACTGATCGGCTCGTTAACCATTTGGGCAGTCGGTCACGTCTCTGTTATGCAGTTGGCAAGTACTGGGCATGCACTGACTCCTGAAATTATCTGATTCTCTTAACCTGCTCCACCCCCTCCTCTGTCTATTTAACCTCTCTTTTGATACTGGTCAGCTGCCTCACTTATGGAAGACTGCCACCACCATCCCAGTCCCTAAACCAGGCAAGCAAGATGAATATCGTCCAATATCCCTCATCACTTGCTTCTCAAAGATGATGG